TACCTCAAATGGCCCTCAAAATGATATTGGCAATTATTTAGGCCCCTGTAGTAGGTATAGCTGCCAGAGCTGTGGGCCAAATAACATTGGACAAGGGTCATGTAAGGGGTTGATAGAGTTTTCAAGTGTGGCTATGAAGGGGCTTGTAGCCTAGACATGGGCGAGAAGCATTCTCTCAATCACCGCAATTCAGCTTGGCAATTGTTTGAGTTCAGGACTTGTTTCTGATATTACTTGCAAGGCTGTACCCATCGGTGCCATTTCCAAGGAGAGGCCAAAGTAACAACATCCTTGCCAGATCCTTCAGGTACGTTGTTTTTGCACATAGCCGCTTAAGCTTGTTAGCAGCTGTTCTTGAAATGCAGAGATCAAAGTGTTCGGCCCGAACGAAAGATATTTGGGGGTTTCCCAAATTACTGTAGGGGTACCAGGGTCCCCACTGCAAGGATTTAATACTATTTCTGGATTTGTATGGGGGTCACCCTAGTTCGGGAATTTATCACTTGGAAGATGATTCGGAGCAAGCTTGGTAGAGCCAGAGTCATTTCTTCAGGGTCCCACAGTCACAGATTTCAATTGCTGCCCAGTGGAAGGGGTTGCCCTTCTGCGGAGTTCTTAGGTGCTGACAGGTCCTCGAGTTTTTGCAACCGGCCAGCATTGTCATTTCACGTGCATTGCCTGAGAGTAGCGTGTAACAGGATAGCTAGGCCTCAATCCTCAACTCCAAAAGCCGCACCCTGAGCGCCACCTCTGAAGCCTGGCAGCTCGCGCACCGCGTGGCCTTCCTCCAGAATGCGGAGGGAACAGCCCTGGCACCCTTCGAGCACTCCTCTCAGGAAGAAATTGTCTGCAGCCTTTGGAGTTGAGGAGGTTCTGAATGGAGTTTTAGACGAAGAACTGTATTCGCAAGGTGCTTCCTCTTCCTCCGAGGGATCAAGACCATGTGGCTCAGAGTGAGTCGGGCGCAGGCCGGCTGGGCGGTTTTCAAGGATTTGATGCTTTGGGGAGTTGTTGTGCGGTAGGCAATTGGATGTTTGGTTGGTATAATGAACATACGTTCTGCTCAGCACTTCAACACCCGACACACGGACCATGAAGAGGTCCAGCCTGTTTGCATTCGAATCCACGGGAATCGAACTTTCCGTCACGATGTGAGCAACTGCTCAGGCCAAAACATGATTGTAGAATGAAGAATGCAAGGCTTCTGTTTGCATTGCCACAGACACTTCATGCAAGATTTCAAGGCCTGCATGAAACTGCATTGCTTCTCGCTGCAATCATGCAGGAAGGCCGCAAAACTGACCTCCTTCCAGACGGCCACAAATCAAAGCGAAACCTTTACCCTAAACAAAGCAAGCAAGAATCACACGGGAAGTGTCAGGGTTCAGCGAACTGTTTAAAGCCAGGAGAATGCCGAGGAGATTGCGAAGTTTCTCTCCAGGCCCTGCCACACAGCCAAGATGTGGAATGATATGAAGAGTTTCGGGCCTGTGATATGACGTACAAGATCCCTCATCAGTGGTCTGGTCAGGGACTTCTGATTGGTGATTTGAGCAGGTATGTGCCTAATGTTCGCATGTCGCAGCTTCTCAGACAGCGCATGATATCTTCGGAAGAGGAAAAGCAAACACAGCAGGGCTCGGCATTCAGTGCATCATGCTGCCGAGCCATGCGAGAATGCCAGTGATTTGTATACTCTGTCAAGGCCGTCCGGAATCCCCATAGTTCGAGCATCTACTTGCGACGCACTTTTCTGCTGAAACGCAAGAAGTGTCACTGCAAAATGCGCCCTTGTCCTTCCGCAGTCATTTTACTTCATCACTGCACTGGCATACACCTTGGCATCGAATTCGATGCGTGCTGCAGGCACCCGCGGATCACTGGCGTGTTTTTCCCAGGGCCTGGAGGCTGTGACGCCCGCGCATTGAGGCAGACTGTTCACAGATGCGCTAGAGCTCAAAAAGGGTGTTGTAGGACCAAGAATTAAGAAAGGAATTTGCACAGGTGCAAGGTAGGACATGTGGGTTCAAGGCCAAGGCTTCGAATTTGGAACTTCGGGGTTTTGGCCGTACTAATGTATTTGATTTGTTGTAGTTCCCTGTGCAATCGACAGGTTTTGAGACAGCCCTTTTGGGGCAGGGCGGCACTGTATCCAAGCCCGGGTGTTGCGGGATGTTTCATGAGAGACTTGCAGGATGGAATATGCAAAAGATCTTTACATCTCATCCATGTCTGGGACTGCCAGACATTTCTGCCCAGAGGGTAGGAAATTCCTGCTTACCGCCAGGAAGCCGTAGAATTCTCTGAAGTCCAGTGACTTAAGATGCTGTGAAGCCCTCTTGGCATGCGTGCAGGATACATCAGTCGCAAAGTAGCGGGCCTGGATGCGTCATCAGCTTCACAACAGGCCGGACAAGCATGTTTAGGCATAGACTGCTAAGATCCTCAGATATGTATATACTCTAGTCTAAACTCCTTAGAGGGAACTCTATAGGAGATTTTAAAGGCAACTATTATAGGGGCCATTCCATGGGATATCAGGATTTTAGACTATGGCTAACATGATGAAGCATTCGTGAAGCAGCTTTTCGATCGGTTTGTAATGCACATGGTTTCGAAGAGCTGAGACACAGTCGCTTCGTTAGTATGTAGGGTGTCGGCTGAAAGGCTGGACGCTAAGTTCTCAGAATCATGATGTGATTCATGCAAGTCCGACTACTGGTAGTGGTGCTGATAATAAGAACACTTACTACACTTAGCAGGGAATATGGGAATATATTATTTGTAGGGATTACATTCCGGTATTCCGGACACAGCACCAGTAAGGATGGTAAGAACAAGGATCAACACCTGGCAGCCCCGTCCAGGCTCTGTGGGCTTCTCGCGGCGGCTGCTTGATGCCAGCCGCCTCTTCAAGACCACGGTCTCTTTCGGCCGCTTGAACGATTTGGTCCTGAGTCTCATGGTCCCCTTTCTTCTCGAATTGCTCCTTCCAAGATCTGGTTCACTGCGCGTAGTTCTACCGACATTGTTTCCCTAGGATCCTGAGTGTTGTGGCAAAGCACGTGTTTGCCCGCTGTTGGAGCTCAGGCAGTGTCAACAGTGGCGCGCTGAGACTTGTGGTTGCAGCAGGGTTTGCAGAGCCACGCAGACTGCCGGCAGCATGACATTCTGAGGTTCGGGAGCCATGTTCCTCCAGTAATTACGATGGCATGGCATGATATGAACGTTGAAACCCGTGTTCACGAGCCCGGTCCTAGACCGTTGTTGGTCGAACTGCCCAGCTCAAGACTCAGAAGGTGAGAAGGACCTTCAACAAGGTTACCAAACTGGGCCACTGGCGATAGCATCTCTTGATGTGCTTTGAGTGCAGTACTAGCGCCATTCCCGAAAGCCACTCTACTAGAAACCCTGCTTCAAACTACGTAGACAATGGTTCGGTTTGAAATTATGGGCAACCTGGAACCCTACCACGTTCATCGACCTTCGCCTGCTGCAGGCTTGGGAGAGATGCCCTGCACCATGAGCCATGCATCCATCCCAGCAGAGCAACAGACGCTTCCCCAGGCCAGGGAGGCTTTCGGACAAAAAAAGGTCGTGAATCTTGCAATCAGGAAAAACTGGGAGGTGACGGCTTGGCACTAGAAGGATGGACGTGGAGGGTTTGGAAGCTCCAGCAGGTGCTGTGCGAAGGTCTTGGAGCTAAGCCTCGGGATATGTAAATGGTGACCTTCCCAAGAAAACATTTTTTTAGAATCAAGCTGCCAGGCCTTAACTGAGACAGGCAGGCTTTGTTTGGGCTAAGCTCCTTCTACGTTTCTGGAGCCCTCTCTCTTCAGGACCCGGTAACTCCTCATTGCTGCCCTAAGTCCTGGCAGCAAAAGCCTTCCAGACAACAAGCCGTTGGGGGCTTTCCCGAAGCTCCTTAACTGTTTCACCAATCTCCAGGACCTGGTCCGCCTTTCCGTAGGTATCGAGGATGTGCGCGGCTCCTACGCAGGGTCAGCGCGATAAGGGTTGTTGAAAATCTTTGGCTTTTCAGTCTGCTTTCCAGGAATGAAGATTTCTGGTTCGGAAGTGCGTGAGTTTCCAGCCTGCCAAGATGGGCATGTTTCGATGGGTTTGGCTTAGGATTCCCTTGTGATGTTGCGGGTTTGGAGCGCGCCGGCATCATTGACTGTTTAGAAGAGTGCACATACTACAAATGCTAGAGGTTTCCCACGGCTTTTCGTCTATACCCCCTGCAAATCATTGGGAACCGGTGGAGGATCAGCATTTCTGTGGTGTGGGGTTCAAGGCGCGATCTGCTGTTGGACTTGCAGCGCGCCCTGGAGACTGCCAGTGGCCAGCGCGAGCAGCCGAGCAACGATCAGTGCCCCACTCATGTTGCCGCGTAAGATTCTGGGAGGGTTTGGGATAAGCTTCTGAACATTGTAACCACGGCTTCTTCAAAGACTCTTTTCAAGGGATGCAGGCACCCCTGGACATGGGCTAGAAGTTTCTCTTTTTTTGCCGATCAAATTTATCGAGGTAGAACACGCCTGCTGCCATGTCAATATCGGGCACGAGTACAGTGTGGCAGGAGCAGCTTAGCGGTGGGCTCCCATCCCCCCTCAAGTGTCTTTCTAGTATTCTTGTGGCCATAACTGCTGCGCAGCCTTCGCCTCAATTTCAGCTGGTAGCTGCCTTCAAGCAGTTGAGGGGAGGGGCCGTCAGCACTGACATTTTCAATGCAATTCTTTACAACTGTGACAAGAAGTTGGCCTTACTCTGTTTCCAGCAACTGCATGGGCTCCTTCCTCGCGTGTAAGTGATGGTTGAAGGTTCTATGGAGAAACTCGCTAAGCTGCTGTGATCTGGGCGAATCGCTTGAAACTGCAGTGTTGTAATGCCATTTTAGATGGAGCCTGGCAATGGCCTTCCCAACTGCTAGCAATGCATGAAAGATTCAATCAGTGGGTGATGGATCATGGAGGCCATGGGGCCTAAGTCTTTGTTTTCTCTGCATGTGGAGAAGGTACGACAGTCGCTTCGAGGACCTGCCGGTCGTTCCGAGGCGTGTGCAGATACCAAACTGCCTATGTGTCACATTAGCCACGAGGACACAGCTCTAGGCGCAACCTCCCAATTCAGGTGGGTTATGGTAACAGAGATCGAGAGAGTATCTAAACATCCCAAAGATCAATGAACACCTCACACAAGAACATTCTTGGTAACGAGGAGAGAGACGTCAGTGATCAGAATCAGCATGGTACTGCGAGTACAGTCATGATGGCAGTAATGACGATCCTGACAAAGCTCTGGCTTAGCATACTCACAACTCCGTCAGCTGGGGTTTTTGAACTGCTGTTCCGCCGAAGACCTATCCAAGCTATACCAAACGTACAGAATCCTGTCTCTCGTTCAGAACGGGTTGCAGATTTGAAGCTGACATTTGCAACTACCCAGAGATCCTTATGAGGCTTCCTGGGGCCATTGCAGAGGAAACGGACACGCCCTTGCCTCAGACTCCATTGCGTCGCAAATCTTCAGCACCTCTTGGTGCACTTTAGCTGAACTTGCTAGTCCGAACCTTTTGCTGAACCCTATGGCGTATGATTTTAGGGCCAGTCACTTCTGAGCTTTTGCAGGAGCACCTTCTGTAACAGTACATTCATCAGCAAGCATAGTGAAATACGCCATTTTAGCCCGTGTCTCCAGACCTTACAACCCAAAGTGCTCACAGCGGGCGGGATGTAAGGAACGATGAAGCGGGCTCAGCCCTGCGCCGTGACGACTCTCTGTTAGCAGGCACGACCGTGTCACCTGTCTTGGAGGACAGTAGCCACAGCTTTGATCAGCTTTGAAACTTCATGCTATTGAGCTCTCCAGGCTACTTGGGCCTGGCACAAGCATCGCCACGACGGCAGCGGCAGCAGGTGAGAGCCCTGCTTGGCGTTGCGGCGGCGCCAAACTCAGATGCTGCAGCTGCCGACAGGTGCAAACAGAGGAAGAAGTTTGCCTATAGCACCTCAGGCCCCAAGGAGCCTGGATGTGGCATGTCTTGCTTCGCCTCTGTGTATCCAATCCTGAGGTGTCCGCTTTGACTGTTGGTGCCTTTGCTGCCGCCGCGAGCTGAGACTGCGTTTTCGCCCCTTTTTTATGTTTCATGGAATAGCAGGAGCAATAGGGGCGAAAGGGAGACGGATGGAAAAGACAGCAGAGGTGGTGGCACAGGTGGTTGTAGAGTTAAAGTGCTCATAGTGCCTGTACTCCTAGTAGTGATGGCATGGCATTGATAGTTGTGGTAGTTTCAGCGCTTGGTCAGTGCATCACCAAGTTCCGCGAACTCCTTTTGATTCTTTGATCTGAAGTACCTTCAGCTAGCCTGAGCTCGCGCTTGCGCTCCAGGCCAAGCTGCGTCGACGATGAGCTCAACGAGCCAATGTATCGGAGACAATGTGCGGTTTCTACCCAACGAGAAAACATTGCAGTTTTCCAAAGACTGAACGTTACATGAAGCCCAAGCTACACGTTCGTTGACCTGAAATGTTTGGAACCCTACAGAAAACAAGGTTTACGTGAACCGCCGAAAATGAAAATGTACATACCATACGGCCAGGCCTCGCCGCAGCGCACGCTTCAGAAGTGCAAGTAATCACCCCATGGTCCTGAAACATTGACGTTGACGTGGCAGTGATGCGAATAACGTACTTGAACATGATACTTAGCCAGAGAAGACTGGCACTGCGGAATGGGCATTGACGCTTGCTGCATCTCGTGATCTACACTGCGAGCCGAATGTAAATCACAGCTCAGGGGGGTCCTCAACACTCAAAATGAAGGTCCCAGTTTGGGATCCAAAGGGTAGTTTCCATCATTAGGGGGACCCAAATATAGACGCCCCCAAAGACACAGGAAGCCCGAAAAGGTACGCCTAATTTTGGTAAATAATAGTTTCCATATTCTTCTCTATTATCCCTATGTCATTAGAATCCGTATATAACCCCATGGGTATCACAAGAATTCACAATATGGCCCCAAATACTATAATCCTTATTACAGGCAACCCCAACATGGTATCCCTAATCTTGAGAAACCCCAAACCACAAACCCTATAAAACCCTACTATAGAACCCTATATATCCCAAAGTCCCTATGTAGCCAAGAATGCACAGTATGCAGCTAGTCCCAAGGTACCCCTTCTGGGATGAAGGGGGAAGTGGTTGGCAGGAATTGTGTGGCCATGTTTGGCTGATGTTGGGGGTTCCTGTAACAGGGATTATAGTGTTTTGGGGTCTGCATTGTCCCCCTACTTTGGGAGGCTACCATTTAGGAGCCGCCAAGACTAAAATTTCACCATGTAGGGTTTCAATTACAAAGATTGAAGTTTTCAGTTGTACCAGTGTAGTACCACTGCGCATACTGTGTGCCGTATCTGATCACCGGCATGAGCAGTGCACGTCGCGATTCCTCTTGAGAGGGGGCTGCTCGCGTGAAACGACCGGCTCCTGATCTTATGAAATGCACGTTGCATGGGATCGCAGGAGACTCAACATTCGCCATGATACCTAGCGATGGCCGATGACTGGCCCCAGTGACTGCCCCGGAAACCTGCTACAACATAAGCGAATTTGCTCAATCCAAGTGGACTATCCGAATCAAGAGCAGCTTACTTCTTGCCATTCTATCCAGAACAGTTGAGCAGACGGCGTACGCAACTAGCATCAGCTAGCTGACTTCAAGCGATTCAACAAGTGAGTAAGTAAACTTTGGACCTGGATTCCCAGTGATGCTCTGGCTTGTCTTGACACGGCTCGGCTACGCAAAGGTGAGCCTGAGCCAAGTCAAAGCAAGTATTAGTGCTGGCGCCTATCGCGTTAAAAGCAAACTTTGCGGACAGGTAGCCACAGACATGGCAACAGATCTAGAGTTGGGTTCCAAGCCAAGCTGCCTTTCAGAAGACCATGGTCATCTTCTCTGCTTTTTTATCCACAGCCCGGAAGCATCGACCAAGAAGAAGCAACATTGTCACTTTCGCGTCCACTCTTCACCTCCACAAAGTCTGCTTAAGCCTTGATTGCAAAAATGCATGGCGAACAAGTACTATAAACACATAGACTCGTCAAGAGAATCCCTACGCAGGTGTGCCGGTTTCATTGCTGGTTTCGGCTTCGATGTGACGGTGATGGTGCGCTGGGCTTTGGCAGTCTGGGAAGGGGTAGACGGGCCACTTCAGAGGCTTGCAAAATCATGCCCTTGCAGCAGTTCGTCAAGCGGCAGCCAAATTGAATCACATGTATACACCATGAACGCCGGGCTTTGCAAGCTGCAAATGCAAAGCATGTACTAGAGTTTGAAAAATCAAAGGTGTGGCGTGTCAGGACGGCAGATGCCAATGTAAGTAAGGTCCGGGCTGCGGGCCTTCGGCCGGAACCAGATCCTTTGAATGCCCCATGCAGTGCTGCGAATAGTCATAGAAATGCAATCCTGCGACAACTTTATGTACCTAAGATACCGTGGGCTTGCCTCTGATGACACAAGCAATTTTTCGAAAACACCCTCGACACTGACATCTATCTTGTTGTAATGCTTCCTAGAACTCAAACTCACCAACTCTCAAAACTCAAACCTGCAAACCTTTGCCGTCGCTTATTAAACCTGCAAGCCGCTAAGTCCCACGCCTAGCAGCCCAACATAGGGACTGCAATCCTTATTATGGAGACCCCCAAAACCGTACCCCTAATTTTGGGAAACCCTAAACCCCAAAGCCTAAACCCTATATATCCCTATAGTACCGCTACAGCAGCGCTAATTTAAGGAAAGGGTTTCGTGTTGCGGTCAGGTCCGCTCCATCCTGTTGCGTGGCTTCGACCAGGCCGGGGCTCCACGACGGGTAATATAGGGATAATGGAAAATCAAATGGAGACTACTATAGGGTTTAGGGTTTAGGGTTTAGGGTTTAGGGTTTAGGGATAATGGAAAAGAAAATGGAAACTACCTTACTATAATGGAAAATAAAATGGAAACTATTGTAATTTATGGGGTATATATTTGGGTTATAATGGAAGCTATATTGGGGTTATGTAGGGATGATGCAAAGATAATGGAAACTACTGTACTATAATGGGTTGTATAGGGTTTAGGATTTCGGGTTTGGGGTTTAGAAGGAATGGAAAAGAAAATGGAAACTTCGGGTTTGGGGTTTAGAAGGAATGGAAAAGAGAACGCAAACTACTATACTATAATGGGTCGTACAGGGTTTAGGATTTCGGGTTTTGGGGTTTAGAAGGAATGGGAAAGAAGATGGAAACTACTATAGTATATCGGGGTGATATAGAGATAACGGAAAGGAACGTGGAAACTACCATAATGGAACCTCAAATTGAGAAGAACATGGAGAATGACATGGAAACTGGGATGAGGTTTTTGTTTTGTTGGGGTTTGTGGTTGAGGGATTTCGGTTCAGGGCTTCCGGATTGGGGTGCAGAGATTCAAGGGTTTAGGATTTGGGTTCCAGGAGGCAGAGTTTGGAGTTTCAGGTTCCGAGTATGGTTCAATTCAGATGGCTTGAGCTTAAAGGTTCGGGATGTTGATGCCAGAGGGTTTAGGGGTCAGATCCAGGGGTTGCAGTTGAATTGCGTGCCGGGGTCAGGATTCAGGCATTGTGCTAGATTTTGTGTTGGTTTTGGTGGCCTTCGGGTTACACGAGTATTTATTGTGATACATACATGGGGAGAGATGGGGATATCTAGGGATTGCTAGGGACGCACAGGGTGTGGGGTTCAAGGGTGCATCATACTTCGTTGAAATCATTTTTGGCTCTTTAGGCTGGAGGTAATTTTGAGTCCGCCGGTAGATGGGAGCCTTTAACGTGCTACAGACACAGCTAGCAGGGGCTTTTGAGTGCCTCAGTCTAGGAGCTTCGGGTTACAGAGCCTGATAGGTCTTGAGGGGATGGTGGAGGCTCTTCAACGTAAATGCTCTCGTCAAAATGCCTCAGGTATTCTTTGCCTTGAGCCTCAGGACATCGCCAATATGATCGGCGCCTACATGCAGAAGCATGGCGTGAACTTTGCGCGGGCTGGGTGCTCAAGAGCAATTTGCAGCTGTAGAAAGCCGACCCAAAGAGGAGGTTCCAAGTTGCCCTAATGCCGCGTGCAAATGAAGGTGAAGAAGGGTTCAGTGTCAATTGAGTCAGTCAAAGGTTAAATCCCTGCTGGATTTGCTGACAGATCTGGGCCACAGATAAGCTCCTGCTCTGATTCAGTGCCGCCAGCCCTAGTTGTCTTCTGTGCAAGATGGAAGTATAGGGGACTCCACGCTTGGTGTCTTTGCTCAAAGGTTGCCACTTCAGAAGCGCTCACGCAATTTGATTGCAACAGCACCTTTAGAGGGAAGGTACCCTTCCCGTGACATGCAGCTGCATTTAAGAGCTATCGACCCAACTGGTTCTTGACATGTCCATCCTCACACTTGTCCTGCTTGTTAGTTGTATGATGGCATTTTGGTGCAGCTTCTGGGCAGGAGATGGTCCCATCCAAATTCGAGAAAACATCAGACGGAAAGGCTGGTCTGCGAGCCGGGCTGTACTCAAGGATAGGATTGAGTAAGATGCGATAGCGGCTTTTTCGGGTCCATCCAAAAGCTTGGGTTCTGATGTATTCTCTCAAGCTTAAGTGGCAGAAGACCTCGGAAGGATTTTTGCCGCGTGGTCCGCGTGGTGGATCATTGCCACGATTTTTGCAGCTTGCGCGGCTCAGTGTAGAAGGAAAAGAGCTAAGCTGCCTGACACAGATTGCAGCCCGTGCGTGGGTCATCACCTATGCTCTTCTGCCAGTGCAAAATGATGCGTAGCAAGTATCAACACAACAAACAAGTTTGGCATAGGCGCAGCTGCTTCTCCCTTACACCTGGCAGCAGGGGTTTTTGTTCGTTTGTCACCCCCTAATCAGCTAGCCAATTTCAAGCAAACTTGTAGGAAACCAATTCATGTGATGTGCAGGTGAAGGTCTTTGTGAAAGACAAGGAGTACGGGGTGCCAGTCTCAGAGCCCTGGTTTTTCAGGCTGACGCAGAGGCATTTGTAAGCAGACAGATTAAAAATGGCGACCTCTCTGACAAGTGCAGATAGAGTTGTCTTGACGTGGGCGACCAAAAGATCTTGAGGGGACAGAGGCTGGCATGAGCCGCCTGTCCAAATTCAGGGGTAGCGCTCATTGACTAGAAAAGGGATTCAGGAGAACAGCAGACACTTTTGTCCATGCTCTTCCCAGATTTGACCCGGTGGGTTGGGGCGCAAGTCTGCCTCCGTACTAACTTTGTCTCTATTCCACATTCCCAAGGCATAGTTCCCAATTAGCAGAAGCCGCTGGAACTGAGCCTATAAGTCAAAAACCTGAGGTGCATTTTTAGTCCTGGGCAAGTAGATAA